TCTGACTTTTGTGAAAAAAAGAAAAAAGAATACCAAAATCTGACCCAAAAAAAACAAAAATTAGAATAGTAAAAAATAAACCTATACTACTCTTTTGAGAAGAAGAAAAAGAATGTTAGATTTTGAACGTTGGTATCTTTTATCGACGAAAAGGAAATTTAACAAAACCCTAATCACAAAAAGGAAAACCGCTCAAGTATATAACAACGTTAGGGTGGCAACTTTTCTTACTCACTTTCGCTCATTCCAATTTCTCTCTATTTTCCTTTTCTTCCTCATCAAACAAGTTTTTGTTGGTCTTATCAGAATTTTTCGTCCGACAATGTTTTACAGTGATCATCTCGCTAATGCAGAGAAGGAGATTACATCGAGTAATTTCTGCTGTTTGGTCGAGGCAGCCGTTTTGTTATACGAAGAGGAACAAGACCGTAAATTCAATACGAAGAAAAAGACTCTCTCCGAACAAGTAGACAAGAGCTTCTTCCATGTCTTCCCGAGAAAAACAAGAACTTCGGTGAAGAAATTTCTTGTTTCCAAACAACAAAACCTTCACGAGATCACGGCTGATTCCGACACGAGAAATCCACAAAACCCTCCTTGTTCTTCTTCATCGATGTTTCTCGGAGATCACAAGATCACGGCTGTGTCGGAGAAGCGAAACCCACGAAGCCCTCCTTTTTCCTTTTCATCCTTGTTTGTCGGAGATTACAAGATCATGGCTGAGTCGGAGAGCAGAAACCCACGAAACCCTAATTCTTCTTCATTGTTGTTGTCTCTCGGAGATGGCAAGATGGTGGCTGAGTCGGAGAAGAAGGTGAAGAGAAACCCACGAAACCCTAACTCCCAATGGTCTCAGTCTCCGTGCGTAACAGAGAAGAAAAGACGAAAGAGGCGTGCGGTGCAAGAGAGAATGCCTAGTGATAGATGCAAGAAAGCAAAGGTTGAAGCTTTTTCATGGATAGGGAGAGAGACTCCAGAGTGGCTAACTCAGTTGATGAGAGACATCAACGGAGCAGACCTGAGTCTCATCTTTGAGAGGTCTCTGTACAAAACAGATCTGAACCCTAAAGAGAGCCGTCTCTCAATGCCTTTCAATGAACTAATCAAGAAAGACTTCTTGACTCCTGTCGAGTCGAGTATCATAGAAGAAGACATCAACAACGATAAGAAGATGGGAGTGGGAGGGATTCTGTTTGATCAAGAGAAAGTGAAGTGGGGTGTGATGTTGAAAAGATGGGAGATGAAGAAAATTTCAGGGAATGGAAGCTGGAATTATGCTTTGACTTGCGGCTGGAACGATATCGTTAAGGCTAACAGATTGAAACTCAACGACCGCATCAGTATTTGGTCTTTCAGGTGGGGTGGACTCCTCTGTTTTGCCCTTGTTACTCCTCCTTCCATGCCACAAGCTAGCTCTTCTTCCCTTGTTCTCTGTCTCTGACAAGTTTTTCTTGAGAGATTTTGATCTAATTTCACACGATTCTTTGGAGGTTTTCAGGTCTAGTAGTAACTTGTTGGAATTGTATTTAACACAATTAGGCCTTCTCTCCTCTATTATTAGTAACTTGTCCCCTGTGTGTTGTTTCAGATATTTCAATCGTATGAAAGAGTTGACATTTTGACATGATTCTGGTTTCTTGTGTTGGTCTACTTTACTTGCTAGTTAGTAGTTACTGCATTGCTTCATTTCAAACTAATAATACAAACCAAATCCCAAATATTAAACATAAAAAACACCAAAACTATAACAATACTTGAAAGCTGAAAACCATATAACCATCTTCTTAACAAATAAAAATCTTAACTTTTAGTTCATGTTACCAACGGATAAATTCCCTAAATTCGAATCACAACTTCCGTCAAAAGCATTCAATACTAAGCCTCTTGTTACCTTTTGGAAGTTGCTTTAGTTTGGCCACCGTTGCTTCTATCTCCAACTTCTTTTTTGCAGGAAGCGACGACGTCTCAATCATCAAATTCTTCCTTACCCTCCCTTCTGTCACCAAAAGTGAAGCTAATGCCAATTCTTCCTTGTTTGAACCACTGAAGTTGTACATTCTCACAACTTTGATGCGGAAATTAGAACTGAAAAAGGAATTTTCTTTCTGCCACTTCTTTTTTTGTTCTCCGCTAATAGAAGATTCACCTTCTTCCTTAGGTACACCGTACATTGCCATGCTATATATACAAGAACATACATATAAATATGTACTGAGTCGTATAGATATTATTAGGAAAAGGGATCAAAGAGAGAAGATTGGTTGACTCTACCTAACTAAAATTGAAGCATAAAATGAATGTACCTTAAAAAAGATCTCAAGATCTTTTATTTCTCCATTCCACGCAATGAATACTTGTTGTAGCATGTAAACTTCTTTGGGATTCATTAAATCCACACTCACAGCCAAAGATATAAACCGCAACAAATAGTTAGTATGTTCGCTCACAACGTAGCTATATCCCATGTTATCTTGCTCCTTCAATTCATTTAACAAAATCAAACATGTCACACAATAAATTAAAAAATAAAATTCTATATATAGTTATATTTAAATGAATTTGCTTGTGCTTTGTACCTTAGCATTGTATGAAATATTGTAGTTCATGTTAGGTATGTTTCCGGCTTCAGTCCAATAATTTTTGCTACACTGGAGTAGTCTAGGGGCCGTAAGAAAGAAGTTATCTTTCGTAATAAAATAGCCAACGGAGAAGATATCAAGAACAGCTGCGGACACTTCAATGCGATTAATAGGAGAGCAAGATATATGCAAGAGCTTTAGATTGTTGTTATGAATCTTCAAACAACCAATTTGGCGATACCACGTGATGTCTATTACCAATACTTTGAGGGAGGGACACGATGCAATAATTGTGTTCAATACACCAACCTCAACGCAGATTTTTTCAAGCTTGAGAACCAGTAGATTATGACAGCCGTTGAAGGCATGCGCAGTTTCTAAATCGTATCGACTTAGGTAGTGTTTCAAGGGTTGGATGTGAGAATATGTTTGGAGAGAAGTTGATCACTTTGGCTCTCTTACGATGACCAAGAAGGTTAACAAGTACGAGAGTTCTGGTGTGTGTTCACATGAATTAGTGTTTGAATCCAAGTTTCAACCATACCATTTCTAATTTGGTATGAAAAATGGTGGATTGTGCAGCACAGTAGATGGCCATTGTGGTTGTTTACAACCTTCAAAAGAAACACAAAATTGATGATTAAAAACATAAATATACACTTACATAGTATCAATAAAAGCCAATGATCTTATATCTTACATCTTGGAAATTATGGAAAACAATTAAAAATATGTTATAGGGATGTCTATGCTATTAAGTTTTGCTGATAAAGATATGTACGTGAAGTTTTGATCAATTGTTAAATTAAATAAATTGAAGGATACTTATATTAAGAGATTTTTTTTCTAGATTCTCATTAACTATAATATTAATTCATTCACAATCTATAATCAATTATTTCAAAAATATTTTTTTGCGCGAAATATCGTTAACTACTTACACGTGTAATATCATTATTATATTTTTAGTGTGTTATTTAGTTATCTCTAAATCGTTATATTAATATCTACGCGCAAATTTTATTATTTAATTACCTCGATATTGTTATGTTAATAAATGGAAGGATTATTATACTAAGAGATTATGCGTTCCTAAATTTTTATTATCTAAAATGTTAATACATTCACAATCAATTATATACGCGCGTAATATCGTTATATTTTTCGCGCGAATTTCATTATTTTTTATTTTTCAAAATAATTGATTGAAAACCATAAGAAAGAAAATAATGAAAAAGAAAAAACCTTGGTAATCAGTTCACCAACAAGATTAGAACGAGTTGCCAGACAAGTCACGTCGTAGTTGAGAGTATATTTCATATCGAAATTGAGAAAAGGTAGTTGTTTCCAAACATTCTCCCATCGCTTAGATAGTATACATGTCTTGACAGCTTCTTCTGTGGACAAACTTGTTAGGATCGTGATCAACACATCGTCAGGGAGGTTGCTAATCTGATCAACGTTTTTGACGATAACCCGTTTGCCTCTTGCATCTAATGGTAGTGATGATGGTAATGTATCCATAGATGAGATTGATAATGAAGCAAAGAGATTTGTGGGAGAGATAGAAGAGATTATTTTGACTTGGACACTAAGCAAGAGAAACAAGGATGTGAGATTCTATATATAGGTGAGGCAAAGTAGATGAAAAAGAAAGATAAATCTAGGATAGAGACAACGAAGATATTTAGATGGTGTTATTTTTACAAAAATATAAAATCCTAATTTCATTTTCATTAAAACTATTAAAATTGTCTTTTTAATTTTCTTTGACATTAACTAAAAATGGAAAATAATTTAACATTTAATTGATTAATTATTTTTTAAAATAGGGAAAATTGGCTTGTATACCCTAAATTTTATTAGAAATTTGAGATCTATACCAAATTTGTTACACTTTGAAAAATACATTTTTAAGAGTTGAAATGACAGTTTTATCCTTACTTAACAAGATTAAGTTAGAAAATAAAATGATTGATTTTTCTAATTATTATTTAAAAATTGATTTATATTATTTTGTAAATATTTTAGATAAGAATTAATTTAAATTACAATATATTAAAATTTAAATAAAATTACCAATTAATATTTTTATAAAATAAAATTACGAATTATTTTAATAATTTATAATTTAATTAATTTATATAATAATATGTCAAGGTCGATGAACATAAAAATTAAGTCAATTTTTTAAATATTGACTTAATTTTTATGTTCATCGACCTTGACATATTATTATATAAATTAATTAAATTATAAATTATAAAATTAATTCGACAAAGTAAAAGTCAACCAACCAAAATATAAATCGATAGTTTACAATAAATCGATGAAAAAAAATTAAGTCAACGAAATTAAAAAAAATCAGTGGTTTAAATAAGTCGATAATTTAAAATGTCAATAAAACGGAATAAGTCAATAGTTTAAAATAAGTCGACAAAACTGAAAATTAAATTGACAAAAGTGAAAATTAAGTCAATATTTAAATAAGTCGGGAAAGTAAAAAATAAAGCAAACGATAATATATGTCAACGGTTTAGATTAAGTCTACGAAGATGAATATTAAGTCGACAAAAATAAAAAAATAAGTCAATGGTTAAACAAGTCGACAAAGAAAAAAATCAATCAAACGAAATATAAGTCAACAGTTTAAAATAAGACAACGAAGCTGAATATTATGTCGACGAACATAAAAAAATAAATCAACCGTATAAATATATCAACAAAGTAAAAAAATCAACCAACCAAAATATAAGTCGACTGTGTAAAATAAGTCAATCTTTATTTTTTTAATTTAATAAAAAATTTAGTTTTTAGATATTAATTTACTAACAATATATTTTTAAAAAGAAAAAATAAATACAAAACTATATTTCGAATTTTAATTTAATAACTTGAAAGTATTCTTAAGTTATATAATAAGTTAAATATGTATAGGGATATTTACGTACTTTTACGTAACAAAAAGGTATATTTTTCCAATTTTACAAGATTAGGTGTATTTTACAAATTTTCATTAAAATGTAGGGTACTTCTCAAAATACCCCTTTAAAATATAATGTACAAAATAAATTTTGCTTTTTTTGCTAAAATAGAACAAACTACATGTGTCAAAATAAACCAAAATTTTAATTGAGAAATTTTTGTTTTCTACTGTGAAGCAAACAAAAATATATGATCATTGATTAAGTGTGTCAAACTGGATTAAAACTGCGCCGTTAGAAAATTGATATATTAATTTTTCCTTTACCTACCGTTAACGTAATAATTGCGGGTGGTAGCAGTAATTATTAGCGTTTAACAACATTCCTGAAAGACGATTCTTACAACTTCGTATCGCTTCAAATTTTTCAAAATTAAAATTTCGATCTCTTGAGCGTTAATTTGTGGATGGATAGTAAAAAATAAAGTAAAAACTTAAAAAGGACAAAATTTATTTAAAACCCAAGTTATATACTAACTTAACAAAAAATTGGATATTAAAATCACAAAATTTTTGAATTTTCAATATTCACTAAACACTTATCCTAATTTTATATTTTATAAAGACCACTCCAAACGTAAACTCAAATTAATACAATATATATTATATTGATCTAAAAAACTCTGTATA